CGCGCGAAACTAATGATGCGCGCGCGCGGTCGCACCCGACCGACAGCTCTGGACAGCTGGTCGGGTACCGCGCCGGAGCACGCGTCGCCGTCGCCGTAGCCGCCGGCGTCGGAGCCGCCGCCGCCCTGGCCGCCGTAGCCGCCGCCCTGGCCGCCGTAGCCGCCGCCGCCCTGGTAGCCGCCGCCCCGGCCGTCGAAGCCGTCGCCGCGGCCGCCGTAGCCGCCGTCGCGGCCGTAGCCCGCGCCGAAGCCCGCGTCGCCGTAGCCGTCGGCGTGGGAGCCGTAGCCGCCGGCGTGGGAGCCGCCACCCTGGCCGCCGTAGCCGCCGCCGCCCTGGTAGCCGCCGCCCCGGCCGTCGAAGCCGTCGCCGCCGCCCTGGTAGCCGCTGCCGCGGCCGTAGCCCGCGCCGGAGCCTATGTCGTAGCCGCCGCCCTGGCCGCCGTAGCCGCCGCCCTGGGAGCCGCCGCGGTGGCCGCCGTGACCCGGATGCTGGCCCGGGTCCCCCGGGCCGGAGGGCGCTCGGCCGCCCCGGTCGCCGAAGCCGCTTTCGGGAAGGACGCCGTAGCGGTCGTCGCCGCCGGGGCGCAGCCGGTGCTGCGGCGCCCCGCCAGCCAGAGGCGGTCCCGTGCCGCCGCCGTGAGAGTACATGCGCCGCGCGCGCGGCTGACGCCGCGTCTGGTGCAACGCCGTTGCGTCTGGGCCGGCCGGCGTCCTGCTCGCGTCCGGGACGCGTCCGGCGCCGAGTCGCACAGGCCTAATCTAGAGCGCATTAGAAGCAGCCCAAGAGCCAGCCCGTGCCGCAGCTCGCGCCGTCGTCGCTGCCCCCCAGCCCGACCATGGCGGGCCCGCTGCTCGTCTGGGAGTCCGGCGCGACGTTGTCCGTGCACGGCTTGACGGTGGCGCATTCCGGCTCCCGTCCCATCCAGTGTCGGTTGGCGGCGGCGACTTCAGGTCGTGCGCGAGCACGCTGGTTCGGCACCCCCTGGCATCTCTGGGTTCGGACCTGCGAGGCCGCCGACTTCCGCGTTCGAGGGGGGCGCACGACCGTGCCGCGCTCCATGGAGGCGCGCTGGCTCGAGACTCACCGCGGCGCCCGAATCGCTCGCCGCCGCGCGGCGGGCTTTCAGGGCAACCGCGTGCACGTCCGAGACCCACGGCGCCAGCCTCTGCGGCGTGGGCTACGC